AATTTTGTTATTAATTCTTTTTTTTCCAAATAAAGTCGAGCAGCCCGAATTCCGTTTTTGTGTACACTTTACTCCTGCAAAAGGATTTACAATTCTATGCAACCAATAAAAAGATATTCTTGTTCGAAAAAATATAATGTCCGGCCGGTAACTCCAGCATCCCCTTAAACGATTGATTTCTTTAATCAGACATTAATATTTGGCATATGCATGACAAATTTAAAATGTTAATTTTATAACATTCAAAATTGATATGAATTTTTATAATTTAAAGTATAATAATGTTCTATTATGTCGATAACATTATTTGCACGTGTATAGAATCAATATATCTTATCATTCAATAAAAAAAACAAGGTTTAAACTTGTAAAACTCGATAATGCGAACCGCAAATAAGATTTGTTTGCAATGCAATACGGAAGTATAAGCAAACTTTGTATCAAATCTCTTTCCATGATAAAGGTTTATTCAGATTTCCAATAAGATCAGTTTTCCTACATTATTCTATTTATTGTTAGGATTGCGTTTGTAATATGAAAATTGTGTCTGTGTCAATTGCATTGTAAAAGTTCAGTCAAAAGAACAGTGCCTAGCTTTTTTTCATCCATTTTATCATTACATTGCACCGCGCATGTAACAACTTGCAATATTGTAGGGAACTGCACGAATAAAAATCTTTGAATAAACACCTTAGTCTAAGAAAATCGGGTAGTTCATACAGATAAACGTCATTTTCGTTAATGAGAACAATGTGCTTCAATTGCTAATCGTTCGATTTCCGGTACAATCGCAACGCAAATGCAATTATGCTGTTACGCATCAACAGCTTCGTAAATCTTGTTCGGCCCGTGATGCCGCATTAACCCGTCAATTTCACGATAAAACAGATTTATTATGCGGTTCACGTTGCGGGTGTGCGTGCATATGTGTGTGTGTATATATATTTAATGTCATTTCTATCAAATATCGGTCCCGCGCGAAATTAAAGGGCCAGCTCGCACTATGCGACACTGATGGGCGTTTGAATAAAAGCCCTGCGGTGAGTCGAGAGAGAGATAGCGACTTTACAAGGTAATGAAATTTACCTGCAAAAAATTTATTATTAATATACTTGCTCGTGATATAAAAAGAATCACTCTAAATTGTCGCATAATGGCTGGATAAAGAAAGATAATGTAATTCTAGATTATTTTTATCAAAATGTTCTTATCTCTTGACTGAAATTATAAAGAGTATAAAAATCGTCGTATATCGATTTAATACATATTTCAAGTATATTAAACATTTTTTATAAAATATTTAATATATTTTTATTATATATTTTCGACTATACATACGTGTGCCGTGAAATATGTATACATTTTACATTACGTATTAAATTATTTAGATATATTTAGAATTAATTAGCAATATGTTTCTAATTTTTCATATGCTTATTTACTGCATAATAATGTAACTACACCGAGAATAAGAGGCTTAAATTGACCTCTGTGAAGCTAGCACCCCATTTTTAAAAAAATCAATTTTTTTTTAGAGTTTTAAATGCACCCCAAAAAGTTCTAGAGTTCTCCATAAAATTTATAAATAGTTCCGGCGAATTAGACAAAAAAATCAATTATTGAAAGTATGGGGTGCTAACTTCACAAAACGTTATCACAAAATTGACGATAACAGCTTAATCGTCGGAAATAATTAAAAATATCATTAGAATTATTTGTAGAACTCTTGAGGTGCTACCCAGAACTCCAACGAAAAATAAAATTCCAAAAAAATTTTATTCTTATTGGAACTTAGAATATTTTCTTAATCGGTGATACGAAAAATAGCGAGAACTTTTTATATATTGGTCTGAGCGTTTCGAACCTTAATAATTATCGTTAGAACTCTTGAGGTGCTACTCAGAACTTTAATAAAATAATCAAAATTCCAAAAAAATTTCTCACTCTTCCTGACCTAGAAAATTTTCAATCGGTGATACAAAAAATTGCGAGAATTTTTTATATATTGGTCT